TTAATAAATTAAAAAAATAAAGTTAAAAGTTTTTAATTAATTTTTGTTTCACTTATCTTATATATTTTTTAATTAAAATTTTATAATCTCATTTTTTTAATTTTCTTAAATTGAGTTCATTAAAATTTCTTCACCCTCCATTTCATTACACCAATCATATTAAAGTTCAAGAGAACTATATATGTATCAATCAAAGTTTGAGGGACTATACGCACATAACAAAAAAGTTTAAAAGATACTATCTCCAATCCTAATTATAAGAGTTAGTTGATTAATTCGAGAAAATTAAGAAAAAAAGTTAAGTTAGTTATTTATAATAAATATGTGTTATCTTTCTTAAAATATCCTTACTAATCAAGTGCTTTAGCTAGAATTATTATTATTAGAAAGACTATTTTAGGAAAAACAATATATAAATATAAGAGACATAGTGGATTGGAATATTATATCTAGAATTAAAATAAAAATAAAATAAAGTCTTATATTAAAAATAAGAAGTAACACATAATTGATAGCTAGAAGTCATTCACGTAGATTTGAAAGCTCAAAGATTTATTATAATTTCAAGTCTTGAAATTTGAGGGCCTAAGCATGGTACCAACATGTGTGTGGTGGGGCAGAGGAAATTTTCGACAGAGCGGTGAAAGCATGAAGATTTGAAAGAACACCAATGGTGAAAGTATTTTACTGGCGGACGCTAACAGTGCATCTAATAGAAGGATACTTATAATCTTATATGTATCACAAAAAAATAAATTTATTACAACAACCAAAAATCAATTTATATTAGTCAATCACACGAGCTAACCGGTAAGTCAATTTTTCAACCGATGTGATAAAAACAAATATTAGACATATGAATTGGGTCGATCTTTTTTTTTTTTGGTGATTGAGGACATTTTTAATTTTTTTATTTTATTTATTACCACCTCCAATCTTTAATATAAAACCTTATTTAATTTTTATTTTGATATTAAATATAAAATCATAATATATTTTTCTAATAATAATAGTTCTAATTAATATATTTAATGATATCAGGCTAATTTGACTCTGCCACACTAAGATCCTTTGACAGGGACATGAGGTATCCCAACAGGAGTTACTCTCTATACTTAGGGTTAGAACTCGAGACCAGCTAGTCAAAGAGTCTAAGGGATCTGCCACTTTGACCAACACTCCTGTGGTAGTAGCATGTGTGAATTAATATCTTTTTATTTGAATGTTCTATTTTCCAAATTATATACAAACATTTTTGCATATTTTAAGTAAATTATATTGTTTTTGTGATATTCAGGTTGATGTCGATTTAAACACTTAAGTATTAACACTATCCGCATCAATTTAATAATACTACCTCTAATACTTAATATAAAAAATTAATTGACTAATTTGAATAAATTAAATAAATTAGTTAGGTTGGCTATTTATAATAAATAGATATTGTTTTACCTAAAATATTTTTATTAATAATATGTAATGATTAGAACTATTATTTAATTAACATGTGTAATGATTGAAGGAACTATTTTAAAAACTGAATATGAGAAATAAAATAAATTGAAATATTATATTTAAAATAAAATAAATATTAAATTAGTAGGAAATATCTAGTGTGATTTTATGTACTTTGGTCATAGGTCACAAGTCGTCTGGTCAATGTACACGTGGCAATACCTGTACATGATGCTTATTTCTCATTTAAAGGGAAAAATATAAAGCCCAGCCCTCATAATTTCAGGGTCTAAACGGGCTCAGCTCATTTTCCCGGCTCTAGCAATATATCCGAATATACGTGTTCGATGTCAGAAGAACCCACATGGACTTTTAGGTCAAGTAATAAAAATTAGGAATAGAAATTAAAATTAGGATTAAAAGAAATTTATTAAAAAATATTTAGTATAAGAGATTGTTTGTTATGGTAGATTAGTTAAACTCATATATATGTGATTTGGTTTTTTCATGGTATTCCTCAATCTTATATACATGGGGTTGATTAATCCCATGCAACAAGTAAAGTTTTTTTCTTTTTCTTTTTTAAATTTATCCCTCTCATTTTTTTTCAGCCCAAGATGGTGTGTAGCGGTGCAAAGATAACTAACTTATAAATATTTTAAAAAATAGTTAAATTAGTTATTTTTAATAAATAAATAATTTTTTTAAAAATGTTCTTATTAATTATATGCATCCCATACTAGGGAGAATTACAATGAAGTCCCATGCAAGAAAAAAAATTACAAAACAAGTCTCAGATATTGTTATTCTCTACTTTAGAATTTGTCATTATAGGCTATTCAGGTTATTATTAGATCTTTTAGTAGTTATTTCTTTTTTTATGGAACTTAATTGTAATTCTTCCTTCATACTAATCCCTTAAAATGTGCAAACATCATAAGAATTACTTTAAAAAAATTGATAAATATTAAAGATAAAGTGGATTCAAATGTTATATTTAAGATCAAATTGAATTTTTAACTAGCTCCGATATTGAAAAAGGTAGTAATAACTAAAGCCTATCTTTGAAAATTTTAAAACACTATTTAATACTTGTACTATTTCATATGATTTACTTCTCCGGTCTTTAATAGACCCATTTAACAAATTTGATTAGATTAAGGAAGTTAGGTAAGTCGTTAATTATAAGAAAAGTGACACATTTTTCCTAAAACACCATAATCATCTTTCTTAATACCCCCTCTCCCTCTTCTACTTAATTATGGTTGAGAGAGTATCTATAGGGGTAATTTAGAGAAAATTGATAAATATGAGAAATGGGTCTTATATTTAGGACCAAAACCAACTCAAGAATTGGGTCTTATATTAAGGACAGGAGGAGTATAAGAAATCTAAGTTAATACTGCTGCCTCTGTTTCACAGTTAATGTCACCAACAAATTTTATGGTTCAAAATATGAATCATTTTCATCTTCTAAAAATTTCATCCTCAAGAATATGTCCTTTTTCCCAATCAGATCATTAATACAAAAATTAATTTTCTTAGACATAAAATTAGCAGAAACTTCAAATCTCTACTAATAAGAGCAGAAACATAAGAGAGAATATCCTAATAAGGGTGACTTGTGTTTCGGTGACTAGTGATTAGGAAAGACTTCAACATTTTTAAAACCCTTGTTCCAATAAATATTAGTAACTTCGACATAAATTTTGGCAAAATTTTAACTAAAATCCCTATTGCTGATATTTGCTGCATCAGTAATATGTCATTTTTAGGGACTTTGACTAAATTAGTTATAACTTTAAAGACTTAATAGTAAATAAAAAAGAACACTTGAACTAAATTGGCCACAAATTAATACTTCCTTTGGTTCTTATTACAAACTTTAAATAAATAATTCATGAATAATGAATAATTGGGTAAAATTAGTTAAAAACAACAAATATATTAGAAATATATTTTTATTTTTTAATATGCCCTTATAATAACTGAGAGAAAAAATGAAAAAGAGTGTGTGAAAAAATGTGACAAGAGAGAAATAATTGAAGACAACATTAAAAAATATATTAAATATTAAAATAAACCTAAATTGAAATTTATAAAATAGATGGCATCACTTTTCAAATTTAAAACTTATAAATAAGAATAAAGAATTAAGTTCTTCCTATTATATAGTCCCTTCGTTTGATTAAAGAATGTTAAAAAATATTTATAAAAACCGAAAAACAAATCATTGAATAGTCTAAGATTTTGTCAAGATCTAATATTTTTCTTAAAATGCTCTTAATGCTCTTTGAATCATTATCATTCATTCATTTGATCTCAATTTTTATATTAAATAAGGGGAAAACATGAAATTTTTAGAAGATGAAAATGATACATATTTTGAACTATAAAATTTCTTGGTGACATTAATTGTGAAACATAGGCAGTATTATTAATTTATATATATTTTATATATCATATGAAATAGTATTAAATAGTGATTTAAATTTTTAAATATGTACTTAGTTATTACTCTTTGATATTTAATATAAGTATCAATTGGAAATTTTATTTGATTTTAAATATAAGACTCTAATTTATTTTGCCTATAATATTTATCAATTTTTTCTCAAATAATCCTTATCTTGTTTGTACGTGTTAAAGAGTTAGTATCAAATACGTGTAATTAATAATGTTATAGATATGATGAGAGATTATGTTCACTTTTTGTTGTTATTTTTTCCTTCTCTGTTCTTTTTAGTGAAGGAGTTGATATAATTTTTTATTTAAGAAAAAAAGTTGGATTATGCAAAACTCTTGATTTTGGATCATATATCAATAACTTCTTAATCTTTAAAGTTTATTATAATAAATCTCTATGAGCTTAAATTTGAGGGCCTATGCGTGGAATACCATGCTGGTCTTTCACGCAGATACCAGCAAACAGGGTCCTGGAGGGGCCGTATTCCATACGGTTGTTCAAATGTTTTATTTATTTAGAAAATGTTTAAATATTACAGAAGTATTCATAGAAGAGCATCTAACACCTATTTTTTTTTGGCTCTTATATGCCGCATATTTTTATTTTCGTAACAAAAATACGATGATTATTATCTATCATTAAGTTTGACAGTTAAATTATACAGTGTGATTGGTATTTTTAACAATCAAACATAAGAGTAGATAACAATTCATAACAAAAATAATATGAAATAAAACTTTAATAATATATAAAAATAAAAAATGTTTAAATACTAAATACTTTTTTAGAAATATTTCTGAAATATGTAAATATTTAAGCACCTTATTTCATTTTTAAACGAAGTGCAAAGATTTTGAAAAGCACGAGTAGGGCGCCATCATTCTGGCCGGATCCTGCCGTTCAGTCCAACGAACCAAGGGCCCACCCCAAACCCCACATGTCACTGCCACGTGGCTAACGACAGTCTCGACGCCGTCAGTGCCCCTTGACGGTTCCGTCCCTTATGTTCCTTTTGGGTCCTGAAAACCTACCAACCAGCATTTGAAATCTAACGTAGGCCCTTTCATTTCATATTCCTCTCCCACTCTCGCTCACTCTCTCAACTCTCTCCGCATTAAAGAAGTCCCCGCATTTTTGAAAGCTGATCATTCACATATCCACACGAGAAGCTTGCTTCTGCTTCAGCTCCGATCCATCACGCTTTTTAAATTCCTTTGATCTTCAGATTCAGGTAATCCTTCTCTCATTCTCACCTCACTGCGCATGGTCTTCGATCTCTCTTGTTTGTTCCTGAATGCTGCATGAAACAGATTCCAGTTCATGTAAATTATGCTTCCTTTTCCTTTCAACAATCTGCGTTTCTTTACGATTTTTTGTCTCCTCTATGATCATCAAAATCACAACACTTTTTCCTCTCTTGGATTTTACTTCCTGCATGTTTCGTTAAAATCATCCAGTATTATGTTAATCATTTTCTTCTTTTTCTTGAAAGATTTTTAGTTTTCTTGTGATTTCAATCTCGGGCCACAAAATTTAAGCATTTCCTCAGCAACTAGTTGTCTCGTCTTTCAGAAAAACTCAATGAGTTTTTTCTCTCTGTTTCGTCTGTATTCTGAAATCTGGATCATAATCACCGTTTTATTTACAGAATTCCTTCACGATTTTAGTCTCTTTCTGTTAATTTGGTGAATCTTTGTGGAATTCTGGTTGCAGAGAGAAATCGATTTTTGTTTGTTTTCTGGGAAAGCTAAAGAAGTAGGATGCCGCAAGAGAGCAACGGCAACTCATTCTTCACGTCGCCTTCAAAGAGAGGATTGAAAGGATTGGTCGCTAACTCTAACAATAATGAGGCTTCATTCGTCGTCAATGAGGAAAGCATCAACGATCACGAATTAGCTCAGAGGAAAGCAGAGGAAGCAGGTACGTAATAATAATAATAATAATAAGACTGATGCTGATCTGATACACTCTGTTTTTACTTATTTTTATTGCCCTGAAGCAGAGTTACATTAACAACCCATCACCTACTGCTTCATCTGAAAATAAATTAAGCACAGGTGTTAAATGTTAAATGCACACAGTTTGGTTTTTAGTTTTTTTTTTCATGTTAAAAATAAAAATTATACCTATTGAGGATATCTGAACCTGTGCTGGTTTAATTTTAGGTAAAGCGGTTTTGGTTTCACTTTATGGTTTTAGACGTTTAGTAGTTTTATTTTTTGACTAAAAAATTATGTCATATAATTGTCAGATAAAATCATGAAAATAACTCGAATTAATTTTCAGCTAAGTTCCCACTTTATCCGGTGCTCCAGTTTTTGCGAGATTATATACATTTTCTTATAATTTTCTTTAAACCTGAGATATCTTTTTCTTTCTCTTTTTTCTCCTTGTTTTGTTTAAGAAAAAGATGGGGTATGCCTGTAAAATTATTCCAAATAAACTTTAAAAAGCAAAATCAAATGGTCGTGGCACTTTAACCGGCGGTTCTGCTCGAGGGCCGATAAATTTTTGTCCCTATTTTTTATAATTTGTTTATTTCTTACTTTTTGGTTTTATTGTTTGCTTTGGTCAACCAAATCATTAGAAGACAGATAACTTGCTTTGCTTAACAAAAAACGGAGATTTTTTTTTTTGGCCAACAACAAAAAGCAGGGATTAAAGAATCAAAAAGTAATAATTTAGCGTTACTTACGAAACAAACAGTTCGAAGGGGGATAAATCTCCCAAGAGCCAAAAAAAAAAAAACAAAAAAACAGAAAAAATAGTAAAAGGTAAGAGGTACAGAGAAAAGAAAAAGAATTTGAAGAAGGGTTCCAAACGATAATGAAGCACATAATGATGAAGCGCAAGAAGCGGGGCATGTGGTGGCAAAAACCGCTTTAAGGAATGGGTCCAAAAATTTTGATTATTTTCGCCGAAAGAATTCTTAGCTCTACCATTGGAATCTTTAATTATAGTTAATCTCCTTTAACTTTAATTATATACATGTTCTTTTTAACCTTTTGTGATTAGAGTTAAAATGATTAAAAGGAAAAGACGTAACAGTAATGATCCTTTCCACTTTCTGGTCCAAAGAGGGAAAAAATGATAATTTCCACTCAATTAGAATAATTAGCTAGGAACACGAAAAGTCATGCACATGATGTGATTCGGACCACTCGGGGCCTTTCTTTACATGAAGTTTCTATTATGCGTGTTTAAGATGCATATCTGGGCATATAAAAATGTTGAGGTCATTTACGTGTGGCTTGGCAAGGGAGGATTTTGATGGGAAGGAAAATTTTCTGAGGATTAGGTGATCTGTTTTTGTTTGATTTAAAAAAAAAGTTTTGAGTATTTAGAAAATAATTTGGGACGTGACTTCTTGAGTAAAATCCTTGCAACTAAACCCTTTATACCTAAAACTATAATATAATATTTATCTTGTTAACATTAAAACTTGGCATATTTATTTAAATAAATATTTCATGAAATAAAATATTAAATAAATACATAAACCTTCTCAAAAATTAAATTTTTAGGAAATATAATTATTTGCACGAAGCAGCCCCTTGAATTTTTGGTGATAATTTTTGTTATAATTATTCTTATTTGATAACATCGAGAACTGAATTCTATTCTTTGTAAGGATTTCTTTGTTCGTTTGCTTTGTTCCATTTGATCAACAGAATGAGTTGTCAGTAGGGGCGGGTTATAGTTGTTAATTGTCCGACCCACCCATCTATTAATTAGATACCTTGTTTAATTAATTAACTGAGAGGTTTGGGATAGAGGAGGTTTTGGATATTTGTTGGGTTTCAGGACGAGATGCAGGACGGAAAATGAGGAAAAATAGTAGCTCTCATTCCACCATTCAAGTCATTTTCAGGGCCCTTCATCTTACTACCTTTATGTTCAAACTTCAAACTAACTTTCAATCAAACTCCTATTTTGTCCACATTTGTTGGGAAAATACTTTACGGGCCCCACAGGAAACAGGACGTGGTGAAAATTTCTTTATTTTTGGCCCTCTTAGCAAAGGTTTACTGCTGAAATTTAACAGTGACAAGGGTAGAATAGCAATCAAATTATTATATCCCATTTTAAATCAGACAGTATATCTAATTTTGCCACAAAAAAAGAAGAAGAGTTTTAACTTAAAAAGAACGGACGGCGGGAACAACTCAACGAAAACATTATTTAAAACTAAAATTTATAACAAATTGCTTCCTAGTTTAAGGAGCAGCTATTACTTAGAATGTCAGGAACTAACATTAGTTTCATATATTTTCTGAAACAATAGGTTTTAATTTCATGAAAAGCTGCGTGAATTGTGAAACTAAACTTCAATTCAATTCACGTTTTAGTGGTAGCCATCAATTCGAGCAAAAAAGCATTTGGAAGACGTTGCATTGATTACATAGATGCATACATACTGATATCATATATATGTAACAAACCATTTCGTTGAATTATAAATTCATAACAACCATGAATATTTCATTGAGAATGGCCAAAATCATGTTAAGAAAACGGGCAAACCTTTTCTTCTTTGTTGATGAGAAGTGGTCTTAAACTGGGTATGCTTGTGATTGTACGTGGTAAGCTTCAAGGAGGTATAAAGCAGCAGAATGGCTGCGCGAGATGGACCACGTCGCGTCGGCGTCACTTTCCAAAGAGCCCTCCGAAGAACAGTTCTGCCTTGCACTTCGCAATGGTCTCATTCTCTGCAACGTCCTCAACAAAGTCAATCCCGGGGCTGTTCTCAAGGTGCGTTTTCTCCCCTTTTATTTGGGCTTCTGCCTCGTTCTATGATATTACATCACAACAATTTTGTGCACTCTTGACGATGTTTGTCCTTTTCATTTTCATTCTGGGTAATGGATTTGCAAAAGGTGGTCGACTATGCTACTCTTGCTGTTCAATCTGCAGAAGGAGCCGCTCAGTCTGCCATTCAGTATTTTGAGAATATGAGAAATTTTCTTGAGGCTGTCAAGGATATGAAGCTATTGACGTTTGAAGCATCAGATTTAGAAAAGGTTAACTTTGTACTAATTTTAATTTTCTAAATGTTAAGTATTGTGTCGTTTTACTTCTAATCTTGTTCTGTTTATAAACTTGGAAATGCAGGGTGGTTCAATGAATAAAGTTGTGGATTGTATTCTATGTTTGAAAGGATATTATGAATGGAAGCTAGCGGGTGGAGTTGGAGAATGGAGGTATGGAGGAACAGTGAGGATTGTCTCACTTCCAAAAGAGTCTTCTTCCTCCATAACTGGCAGTGAAGGTACTGATGAATCCCTGGATGAGTCTGAGTCATCACAATATGAACAGCTGCTAGAATTTCTCCATCTATCGAGTGAGATCTCGATTGAAGAAACCAGAACTTTCAATGCGTTGGCGTTCCTATTTGATCACTTTGGACTCAGACTCCTTCAAGCTTACCTTAGAGAGATGGACGGGATTGAAGATCTGCCTATGAATTCAATGGTCGGTAAGAGCCTTTCCAGTGTATTTTACTGCTATAGCTTATATTCTAATCTAATACTTCATACTTTCTATGACTCTTGCAATTAGCAAATAAGCATTTTGAAGATATTGGATTGACCACTAAAAGCTATACATTTATACTGATATCATATGTATGTAACAACCATTTCGTTGAATTATAAAAGCCATGAATATTTTATTGACGATGACAAATGAAATTTTTATGAGGATTTAATTACTACTTTCCAAAAATGAACTTTTGCATTTCTTCTACTTGCTTTATTCAATGTCGCTGATAATAGGCGTACAATTTTTAGGTAATTGATGTATTGCTCGGTAAGGTAGTCAAAGATTTCTCAGCATTGCTTGTTTCTCAACGCAATCAGGTGATTTAAAGTTCGAATAATTTTGTTGGTACTACATTTATGATTGTTTCTCAACGCAATAGGATTAATCACTCATTCCTTTCTTATATTGCAATATTGCAGCTTGGTCTTTTCTTGAAGAAAATATTGAAAGGTGATATTGGTTGCCTATCAAAAACAGAGTTCATAGAAGCAATCTCATTATATCTTAACCAAAGAAGTAGTTTGGCGTCCAAGGATTTTTCAAAATTCTGCATTTGTGGAGGAAAAGTTGACCGCACTCGGAATGAGAGCAATTATTCTTCCAACCATGTTGAGATAATTAATAATCAACAGAGTCAACTTGAGGTATGGAATTAACAAATAGAGTATGCTTTGGTCATATTTACACCAGCACCCACGCTATAAGGGGTCTTTCTCATGCTTCAGGGCATGAAATACTTTTTCCAAGAGACAAAGATGGAGGTCAAACAAATTCAATCAGAGTGGGAGCAAGAATTGGGCAGGCTTGGTGAGAATCTAAGAAATGGTTTTCATGAGAAATATCTTCCACATTTGTCACGTCCTTCAATTTGATTGTTCTTCCCACAAGACTGAATTAATTTTGTTGTCCTACTTAGAGCATCATATAAAGAGCCTAGAAGTGGCAGCCTCTTCCTACCACAAAGTCTTGGAGGAGAACCGCCAACTCTACAACCAAGTACAAGACCTGAAAGGTGCACATGAATTTAAAATATTCCTTGTCGGCAAATTTAATGTTATGGTGGATATTGATAACTTTGTTTTTCTATAGGAACTATTAGGGTCTATTGCAGAGTGAGACCCTTCTTACCAGGACAATCAAATGTAAAGTCAACTGTAGATTATATAGGAGAAGGTGGAAATATCATGATCGTTAATCCCCTTAAGCAGGGTAAAGATGCAAGGAGAGTGTTTCAATTCAATAAGGTCTTTGCAACAAATGTCACACAAGGTATAATTTTTTCACATGTCATTGGTTAATTGCAAATGCTATAGTATTAACTTGGGCTTTGTTTTTTATCGGTATGTGTACGTAGCTCATAGACCGCTCTGTGTAATGATTTAATTATCTTTTCACTCTTTTATTTTTCTTTGTCATTGAGAGAGAAAAAATAATTTGTATACTTCAATTGCTGCATCGTTTTAACGTGCAGTATGATTAAACGATTGTGATTGGTTTAGAAATATACATATATATATATATATAATGCTAATATGTCGTTTAGAGTTAATATCTTTTTAGTTCATATTCAAAGTAAGTAATGATGATGATTTTATTATCATGTGCAGAACAAATATACGCTGACGCGCAACCATTGGTCAGGTCTGTTTTAGATGGCTATAATGTGTGCATCTTTGCATATGGACAAACTGGCTCTGGGAAGACATACACAATGGTAAGTTCACATTGCACATGCATAGTAGTTTTGGACGTATTAGAACTTCCTCATTATGTTACCTTATGGATTTAATTTATTTGGTATCGTGTGAAGCCTGTTAGTCTTAAGTACTTGTTAGTTATAGCACGAGATGAAGGAACCTGAATGTGATTTTTTTTTTCCCAATAATAAATGTTTTTGTGGTGCAAAGTACTCTGTAACTAGCATCTTGGTTCGGAGCCATTTCCTCCGGAGAAGGGTACCCGTTGGAAACAATATCAAACACTCACAGATGAACATTCATCTGAAACTTTACAACCTATTAACAATTGTTAATTAAATTAAATATTATGCTCTTCATCAACCTTAAGGGTAATAGCTATCCATTTTATCGAACTTGGAACCTACACCAAGAGAATTGTATCATTAAATTTTACGGAGTTAAAATTTAGTTCTAGTTGGAGATGCGTTATTATCTCGTCCTTTCTTGTACATGCATGTCTGTGGTATTGATGTGAATTTATGCTTTTACAGAGTGGCCCAGATTTAACGACCGAAGAGACATGGGGGGTAAACTACAGGGCTCTGTGTGACTTATTCCAGATATCAAAGGAAAGGTTGAATGCCATAAAATATGATGTTGGAGTACAGATGATTGAAATATACAATGAACAAGTGAGAGATTTATTAGTCAGTGATGGCTCTAATAGAAGATATCCTTTTAACCATACTTGCTTTTTTATATTACGTTATCATATTTCCTTGCTTCTGGGTTAAAGGGTTGGTTGAAGCACTTGTTTGTGTTTCAGTTCCTTAACAACGAGGTTTACATTAGATATACGAAACAACTCCCAATTGAATGGCCTTAATGTGCCTGATGCTTGTTTAGTTCCAGTTAATTGTACTCAAGATGTTCTTGATTTAATGAGGATTGGTCAGAAGAACCGGGCAGTGGGTGCTACTGCTCTAAACGAGCGAAGCAGCCGTTCTCATAGGTAAAATTTCCTCTTCATGGGCTTAGTTGGCCTCTCCATTTGTTTTGTAGCTATATACTAAGATAATCTGGCTACCCTATTGCAGTATTTTGACAATTCATGTTCGAGGAAGAGAGCTAGTTTCTAATTCCATTCTTAAAGGTTGTCTCCATCTTGTTGATTTGGCTGGAAGTGAAAGGGTGGACAAATCTGAGGCTGCGGGAGAAAGACTGAAGGAAGCGCAACATATAAATAGATCTCTATCTGCACTGGGAGATGTTATATCTGCTTTGGCACAAAAAAGTCCACATATTCCTTACAGAAATAGCAAGCTCACACAAGTATTACAAGATTCTTTAGGTAATAGACATAAGCTTCTCATGGAAGATCCCATCCCTCATCCTCTCTATTTCCCTTCAGTGCAAATTGCTCTTGACAATCGGTGATAACAGCATTTCGAATTGGAGTGATTTCCATTTCATTTTCAAAAGTCAAATTTGCATATTTTTGGGGGATAAATCTGGCCACTGAATGCTTTGTGGTTTAAATTGAAAATATAGTTGCTTTTCTTTTTTTTGGGTTATAACTTGTATCATGAATTTCCATATAATTATCTTAATCTTTGCTCTATTTTTGTTGTTTTTATCAAACTTCATTTCAAAAGGTGGGCATGCCAAAACTTTGATGTTTGTTCATATAAATCCTGAACAAAATGCTCTTGGGGAGACAATTAGCACGCTCAAGTTTGCTGAGAGGGTGGCATCCATTGAACTTGGTGCTGCACAGTCTCATAAGGAAACCGGTGAAATTAAAGAGCTGAAAGAGGAGGTTGATTTCCTGGTCACTTGTGATGCAGTTTAAGATTCAATGCATGCAAGACATTGATGAATGGTTTTTCCATTTTTTAATTAGGTATCAAACCTCAAGTTGGCATTGGAGAGGAAGGAGGCTGAACTGGAGCAATGGAGAGCTGGGCATGCTCGAAACACTGTAGAATCTCAGAAACAAAGGGCAGTTTCCCCATTTCGCCTTCCCAAATTAGGAGTCAATGCCAGCATGAAGTCGGAAACCTCCCAGCGACCGACTGATGATAAAATATACGAGGTACTTAAATGCCATATTATAACACTTATACCATATTTGTAAACTGCGCTTCAATGAATCCTCCTCTGCATTTGCTCTCATGCTTCAATCTGAAACTTCATTTTCAGGCTAGAAGTTGTTCCTCGGGAAAGCAAAGAAGGTCAAGATTTCCCTCATCATTCATGGACAAAGAATCCACCCCAAGAATGCCTCATCTGCCTGAAGAAAAGATAGCAAACTCAGCTAAAGGAAGATCACCGTCTCCTCCTATCAGGAGATCAATATCCACTGACAGAGGTTCAGTCATTAAAAGCAAGGTAAAAATTGACATGGTAGATAACCAGCCAATAGTAAAACATCCATTTCCAGCCCGAGTACCAGTGAACAAATCTCTTTCCCCCATGCCTATGGCCCCATGCACTGACAATAACTCGAGGATTAATGGAAGTTCATACGAGACGACGAAGCAGGAAAATATTTCTGAAGCTCTATTCAACCTCCAGAAGGTCACCTCCAGGAAAGTTCATCATGAACAAGAAGAGGAACAATTTAAACAAGCACTTACTGCAGTAAGACAAGGTGGTATAAGAAAGAGCAAGGCTGAGGGGAAGGCCAAGGTCAAGCATCAACATCAGCAGCATCAGCAACTCCCTTTTAGGATTCAGAAGTCTGATTTCATCCCCGCATTGATCCCTGAAATGGACATTGCTGATGAGAAGACATTGGAGGCAGCTAGAAAGAGTGATTACTCTGAGCCGGAAAATGATTTTGGCCTAATCGAGTCGCCAGTTCATGGTGCTTTAAACCTTAGAAAGATACGTCAGAATTTCCCGAGAAACTCTCAGAACCTTGAACCCAGGTATGCCTGCCATATTTCAACTAACAATTTTTCTCTTGACTTAATAAGCTCAAGCACTTGAGTTTTCTTAAATTAGTGAATTTTTTTCTTTTGGTTCCTAAAATTGACGAATTCATCGCATGCATTTTATTATAAGTCGGGAATATTTTATTATATGCAGAAGAACAATGCAAGCAGGGGAACCCTTATTGGCTAGCAGGGTTGAAAACAAACTTGTAAATGGCTCAAGCAGAAATCTCAGGGAAGGAAGCAATACACCCATGCCTGAACTCAGGAGAAGCAGATCAACCCCACGCGGAAAATTCCTTTTATCATGAGAATTTCAGGTTAAAAATGGGATAATTAAACCCCCCCCCCCCGGGGGGGTTGATATCTATACTTTATAGTTTTTGTACAGTAGCTGCTAATTATGGTGGGAGTTTGAGCTCACATAATTTATAGAGGTTTTTGAGATCTTTGAGGCGAGTTTGTGCGTCTTTTCATGCCTGGGCATGCTTCTTTGTAATTGAATTGAAATATTTTATATTTAAAAATTTATAAGCTTCTTGAAACATTCTATGACTACGTTATTTGCAATTTTCACTGATGACCATTCAAAACACGAGAAAATTTTACGGTGGTGGTGATTTAAATACTCGCATTGCCTTTGATAATACAAATGCATTAAGTATATTTTGAAAGGAAGCATATTAATTGTTTTGAAATTTAGAAATGATTTAGGACTTGCAAGGTGTTCACTTTTAAGATACGATTGATTATTACATGATTTAAAAAAAATTTACAAAAATTTTAGGCTGAGGTTTGAGCCCAACCTAAGCCAAGAACACAGTGCTTGAGTGACTCCTCCTAAGTAATATCAATATTGGACAAGACGAATTTACATTATATCTTCTGGCATTAACATGTGGGTTCAAATATATTAAATTGAATTAATTCAAAGGTCCTAAGCAACCTTGAAAAAAGACTTCTGGCAAAAAAAAAAGAAAAGAAAAGAAAAGAAAAGAAAAGGCTTTTTGATAGATTAGGATGGGTGTTTGGCATCAAGTAAAAGTACTTAAAAACATTATTTTTTGTAAGTCAAAATAAAACTCTTCTCATATACTCACCTGGTACATTATAAGATTACTTTTAAAATCATGATTTGGTTCCACCTAAACTAAGAAGGAACTCAGATGTGCTTTTTGAGAGAATCATAATTTTTCTGAGAAGATAAAATCATTTAAAAGCCCAATTTGGTTTCACTTCCTACTCTTAGCTTACTTCTAAACTAATAATTTTGACCTATCATGGGGGAATTTATCCTTACACATCACATATCATTCCACCCAAATCAAGATAAATTAACTAAATCATACAAAATAGCAAAAATTTTAAAAACTTCAAATTCATTGTATGCATGTTAAAATTTATCTAATCAAGTCAAATATTAGGACCATTTTATTGGGGTAATTCTTCAGTCTTCCCCTGTTAACACAACCTCAACCCTCTTGTCCACACCCTCTTACTCTCCTCAACACTTTATCCTCCTTCACCAACACCACCGGCACCATACATGGCACTCAGCTAATATTGAAAAATAAATAAATGTTTCACATATTCTTAATATTATATCGAACAAACGTATGATGACCAATATTCCATTCCATTCTCACTTAGATTAATACATAAATTTGTCCTAAAAATTTTCACTAAGAAATGCTTGACATTTGAAAGTTTTTTTAGATGTAAATTTGCTCGAAACGTTAAGACATAAATTTGATCCCAAAAATTTTCACTTGAAAACGCTAGACATTCAAAAGTATTTTTAGATATAAATTTGCTCAACACTTTAAAACTGTAGTAATAGTATCACATACTGTTAAAAATGTTAACGATTAATGCTAGTTTTTTAACAGTATGAGGTAATATTTTTACAATTTTAAACTTCAAGAACAAATTTGCATGCAAAAAAATTCCAGATATCCAACGGTCCTAATTGATTTTTAGGACTTTCAACTAACTCGTATTATTGATCTCAAGTAGAAGTGGCTCTTTTACCTATGAAGTTTGGTCTACATCCTTATTTACAGGACATATGAAGTCCCTTGATCAAACTAACACTACGCAGTTTTCCTTTACTTATACTACATTTGCATCTTAATATAAAAAAATTTACATTAATTTATCTTAACAATTATTTATTATTATATATAATTATACCTTTATATTATTTTTTATATATATTTATCTAATTTTTTAAGACAGTTTTATAATAGTTGCACATATTAAAAAGTTTCATAAAAATAATAGTTTTAGCTAATACACTTGATTAATAAGACAATACTTATTTATTACAAATAACTACCTTAACTAATTTCTTAGTTTACTCAAATTAGTTAACTAACTCTTATATTAAAATCGAAAATAGTAATTCATAATAATTGAAGAATCCATGTGACTAATAATATATATTCCTCCTATTTTTCAAACCATGTTATTAACTTGATTTGCCCAATACCCTTACAATCGGATGAATGCCCAATTAAAACCCTCGATAAATATACAGACTCACACGAGACAGCCCAGACCAACTAAAACTCAATTTAAGAAATCCTCCCCTTTACAAAACTGATTTTCTTGCTTTAATTTGAACCAAACCCCTGTTTTTTCCGGAGTTTGAAGTTAGCTAGGATATAAATAGTGCAATTATATATATACAAGATCTATAGATAAATTCAATCTAAAATCAAAATGATCGAACTTATATAAATCCCCCTTCGTCTCGCCCGCAATATGGTTTGTTTCCGTTACCAACAGGAGAAAATGCCAACAGCAAACAAGAAATCAAAGAAAGAGCGTCAAATAATATCTCATTAGAAGGATAAATCTTTTGAGAGTTGGCATGAAGAGTAATGCAGAACACTTGGTCAGCCCATTGATCAGGCAATATTCTTTGCAACTGAAAGCTTGAGGCTTGTATTCGAAAAATAAATCCCTTCAAGATGCTACAACAAACACTGAAATCTCTTGGAAACATTAGATGATGCGTCAAATCAGCTATATTCTCATATCAGTTCAAAGTTTCAAGGAACATGACATATCTTGAGAGACAAATTTACACTTCAACTACCACATCTCATCAACTAAAGAGCAGACCTCACCTCTCATCAGCTAAAATATGTCACCTCCCAAAACATTTCATTATTGAAGATGTGAGAGCAGATGTCAAAAATTTCATGCCAGCAGATCCACCAGGAAAATAAGATATTGCATAGTACCCAAGTGCCAGAACCTATCAATTTCAAAATGAGATTGGATGGTTTTAGAGAAAATAATATATAAATAAATGCATAAATCTGCATCTACTTATGAGGATTTTCACTCCCCGCTGACCCAAACCACATTATGAGACTGTCAATGTCATACCCGTAATATATTTCTCATTACCAAGTAGGCAGAAAGAAAATTCATAATTCACTCTACCAGATAAAAGCAATGGTAACAGTGATAAACAAAAAACTATACTAAAAGGCTTTTCACCCCCCCCCCCCTACTTACATCAGGAGGTTTGAACAATAGGCCCTACATGCACCTAATCCCACCTTACCAATTAAATTAGTTCCAGGAGGTGGGTTCAAAAGCTTTGCACATTTTAAATTAACAGTAAATGTAACCAGAACTATGGATGTTGAAACAGACAGAAAAAGGGACATAGGCACCACGGCTAAATCTATAATATAATTAAGGACACAAGAAAGACCAAAAAAACCTACATAAGTACATACGTCCGAAACAAAATTTTCACATCTAAAATATGCCTAGTATGATTGAAACACCATGAGAAAGCATCAAGCAAATGCCCAATTAATTCTTGCAGTCCAACATATTCAATCTTGAAAGTATTGCAGAGAGGTGTTGGACACGAATACCAAATGCCCCATGTCATGGAAAATTAGTTCCCAACTCAAAAGTGCATCTAAGAAACTCAAGGCAAGGTCAAAAAAAGAAACAAAGAATAAGCACATTAAGAATACATGAAACATACCTGTATGACAGAGAATAACACGGAGAGAATGTAGCTGTGAAGCACCATTGACACATATATGGTACCAATCATACTGCCTATAAAACCCAATGTGAAGGGGAGCCTCTGAAATGTAGGCGATATGAGAGATCGTGTAAAAAATAAAGCATCCACAGGATAAAAATCAAATCAATGAGACTTCCTTTACAAGACCAAACAACACAATAAAGCACGCATGTCATAACTGATCAAGAGCTATATCATCAATATGCAATACTTATACAGTAAGAAATAAAATTTAAAAGGGTACCTCCTTTGATGCCATGTGGGCAAGCTGATTCTTGGACCTTTGAGAACAAAGAATGATCCGATGATAAATCCACACCCAAGAGTAAAGCATATGGCAAACTTTTGAGGCACAACCACCATCACAGGAAGAGGAAAGGTAAATGCAATGAAAAGAAAGAAGACACCAGTCGCTAGAAGCAAACCAAAATATAGGAGGGCTTTCCCAGAAGGAACATTACTAGTGGCAGACTGGAAATTGCCAGGTATATCTCTCACACCCTTAGAAACCCTACACAGTCATATAAGACAAATACATAACTACTTGCAAACAATTGTTTCATAACAAAAAATTAATTATGACTATTAAAGGCAGCTTCCACCCAACATGTTCATTCAGAACTATTAAGGAAATGAAATGATTCTCTGATTAGAGTTTCTTCCTGCAATCTATACCATTAAAACTAGTTTGAAAAAAACAATTGAGATCTCTGTCACATTCAGATCAGGCTGACAACAACAGCCAGTATTTTCATCTACAATTGGTATGGAAACTTAAATCCATCATGCTAATGTATTCGCACTATTAAAGTTTATAACAAAGTTAATATGTAGTCTGAAATTCATCAACAACAAATTATGCTATGAGAAATGTCGTGATAGGAGCGCAGAGAGATAAAGAAAGAAAAAAAAAGAGCATAGTTCAATGTAAATGATTGACTTAATCAACACCCTGGCCAGCGTTCTGACAGCAACACATCTCAAGGGATACTCACGTATTGCAGCAATGACATAATGATCAACTTAAATAATTAGAAAAGAAATAGGGCCCCATCCAAAGCTCTTATGATTACTATTTATATAAGAGAGACCCTTCTCTAATTTCAGAACCTAACATCACTTAGTTTCTGACAACACCAATCATCAACATGTCAACATTTTTCCACTTAAGCTTACGGTCATTCGTGTCACAAATTGATACACGTTGGAATAACTATAAATCAGCTACATAACTCACAGTCACAGAAAGCATATTGAACGGCTTTTATGCACATATCTCTTTATTTCATGAACCTAATATGCATGTCACTTTGTTTCTAACAAATTCATACTTCAATGCATCAAGTGTCAAGATTTAATACTTAGGCACATTCTTGTTCCAATCACAATTGATTAATATAAATCAGCTTCATATGCCAAACAGCTTGTGACAAGGGTTTCCTATCATAAGATAAACACTTCCACAAGAAAAAACTCATATTGACCGCAAATAAAGAATTCAATAAAAGTTGAAAATACAGAATATTTGACCATAAGACTGCCATGTAGCTTTCATATTGATTTTACTACATAATAACTAAGGAGATTAAGCAGGTCTAACTGATCCAACCAGTGAGACCAAGCTACTCCTAGGCCAATAAATGTAGAACAGAACAAAGGGAATGATGAAGGATCAAAAGACACATGGACTATTTTCACAGCAAAAATAAAGTATCTTGATAACAGAGTGTAAAGATTGGTCATCAAAGGTCAGCTCAAGTGGCTGGGGACTTGAGCAAGCAAGATTCAAATAAAGGTCCTAGAGCTCAATTCACTGTACCAAGAGGTAGTATAAGAGTTTGAAAAACTGAGGCCAATTCAGCCTCTGCCAATACTTACAACACATACATCAAAATTTAACTTGTATCTAATGGATATCTTTCTATCACAAAAACTTTAGATGTCGTTCTCCTTTTTCTAATAACCCCATTGTACTACCAATCAACAGAACCAATAGAGTCAAGGAAAAATTGTTGTTCTCAGCAAATGTGAGTGTGTACTAAGAACGTCCATCGTAAGGATAAGCAAAACTAAACAAGCTCTAATAATTATTTCAAATCCGATCAATTGCATAAATTATCACTGACCACTATGAATTCTTTATGGCCTGTACCACTTACAAATAACCAGATCATACGGGCAAACAAAAAAACAATGTGCCAACTACGCATTTTATCCAAAGGCCAGATCAGTGAAATTCAAGAACCCATCAAGCGGCCAACTCCAGAAAGCATAAGAACCACCACGAAATCATAACCAGACCGAACCGAAACTAAAGAGACACGTATAAGGAGTAGCGAGGATAGCT